AAGCTAGATGGCCTGATAGTCTTTTTACCTATTTGAAATTGATCACAAGGAATAAATGCGCTTGGAAATGCCCGTACCACTCTGCCCCGATTTGTATCGACAGTACAACATAATACTTTAGACGGTTCAAAGCACCGAGGAACCTTACACCTAGAATTTCACTATACCCCGGTCTCTAGCCAACGGAATGGAAACGGCCGATTTTAGCCTTCCCAGCGCCTTAGATTGATCTTTATTAAAATCCAAAACTTATATTGCCAAATACTTTTTCTTCCCAACGCACCATCCAGGGATAGAATTACTTTGAGCGAAAGATTTGTAGGTGTTTGCATGGTTTCCTGCAGTTTCCTTTGTTGTCCAAAGATCAGCAATATCCGGAGGGATCTGTCACTGCGAGGCTGATCCGTTTGTTCCAGTTGTTCCGGTGTGCAGACAGGCCCCTTGTCCCATGGGGCCTCATAGAGAGCCAGATCGTTTCCGGATCACACAGATCCGCATCCTGATCATTCACACGCTTCCTCATAGCCAGACCAAGAGAGAGCCGGGCAACTTGAAGTTACAGGCTGGTCACTTGGCCATCTCTCTCTCTACCAGCATCTCCGTTATCTCTCTTTTTCTCTCCCCTATCTCTCCCTCTCTCTCTCTTTCTCTCTCTCTCTCTCCCCTCTCTCTGTCTCTCCTCTATGTTTCTCTCTTTCTCACACATCTACTTATCCCAACCGGGCCGTTGATTAGAATGAGCCGGAGACAGCTGTTTCCTCCCCAAAACTGGGCCTCAGTCATTTCGAAAGATCGATCCTGGTCACCCACACCGGAGCTACAGGTGACTCCTCTTTGCAGCCTTAGCCAAGAGGGCCCACCCTGGCAAAATTGTCCCAAATTAATCTTCATCCCCAGCGCCCTGGTCGAAACGGACAGTCAACAACTTGGTTTTACGGACCTTGGATCAGGAGGGTGGAGATTTTCAGTCCGGCAGGGATGTGTTCCGGTTTTTCGGGCTTTTCCTTCCCCTTTCGCCCTAGTTTTTGAGCTTCTAACGGGAAGGAAAGACGTCCCTGAATTTTTGGATTTGTCATGAATTTAGACTCTTTTTAGAGGTGTTCCATACCCCTTTCGTGGTTTTAAAAATTTTTGGGGAATGAAGAGCTTTTAAACTTTTCCCGTCCATCCTAAGGTATCGTTTCCGTCCTAATTGAATTTAAGAGATTTAAGAATTTAGAGGATTGAATTTAATCCTCTAAAAAACTTTTTAAACCGTAACTATTAGAAATGTTGTAAAACTACGCTAACAAGGAGTCGTTTTTAGGTGATATTGGAGTTTTTGAACGAGACCTAGCTAGTTCGATAGAGAGAAAAATTCTGAACAGATGTCGTTTTTCCAAATCTGCTAACCGTGTACTGTATTCCATAAAATTAATTTTATTAAGAAAAAATTCACAGACGTCAGGCACCGACCCTGGATCAGGCGGGTGCTGTAACCCACAGGGCGATTAATTTTTATTGAACAGCGTACACGGTTAGCAGATTTTGGAAAACGACATCTTGTTCCAGAATTTTTTTTCTCTTTCTAACTAGCTAAGTCTCGTTCAAAACTCCAATATCACCTAAAACGACTCCTTGTAAGGTTCCAAATAAAATATTTTTGTTTCCTCTTTTTGGCTTTTGAATGGCCCAGTTTCCCAATTTTTCTGTTTTTATGGTGTTACACAATTTTTGTAGCCGTTCCAGGGGAACCAGGAGACGCTCCGTTTATTCAAGTTAATCCACAGAAAATGCAAAATAAAAAGGCTATAACATCCCCAGGACCATAAACAATTTCCCGCGCATCTCTAGGAACAAGATAAACAGAGCGAAATTTGAGGAATGCACATTCCATCTCGTTCCAAATTTTTTTTACGACTGCTTGCAAAATTCGGTTTTAAAGTGGTAATAATTTTGAATAGCCAAACAAAGCCATCACCAAGTTATAAATTCGATTGCTATTATTTTTTTTTCTCTAAAAAACCAACAAAATTGCGCATATGTAAAAAATATTATTGTGCATTCTCTTAATTTTCAACTCCAAGAATTCCCAATGTTATCCTTATAAAACTTTACCTTTGTATAATATTTCTAATTACGATATATCATTTCCGCTTTTTCTTGCAGTTTTGCTGAGATTCCCTAATTTTTGTAAATGCCCGACAAATTTCATTCTTGTTCATTTTTACCTAGTAGCGTTTTAAGGTATTTTAATGCATTTTTTGAGAAATGTGCGTGGGATCGCAAACTCTCGTGGAAATGCTTGACGTTGTTATTAAGAAAAATTACAGCACCCAGCACATTTCCATTAACACCTTGAAGCAGCACCCCCGCAAGTCATTAGTTATTTTACGAGCATTTTTGGGGAGGTCCGGCACGCTAAAAACAGCCCTCATCGCTTACACGGCCATTTTGGGCCCAAGGAAGACTGGCCTCAGTGGGAGGGGGAGGAGGACCCAATGGACCCAGCCTCTAAAAAATCGCGGATTTCTTGGATAGGTGCCAATTTGGGTGGATCTTTGGCATTGGCGCTCGTGAATTTTGTTATTTTAGATCCTACTCGCCCCTGGCTTTTATACGTAGTAATGGAAAATAGCTTTTCTAAAGCTGAGAGCATATACCTCTTTGCACGATTTTTATGGGTTTAGCGTACGAGCTTTCAGATCTTCACATGATGTTTCCAACGCTCGCGATACGCAACGCACGCTGATGCACCTTCGCATTGTCGCGTGTCGCCCATGCAGCAAAATTTTATGCGCATTCATCGGCCATAAAATAGTCTTGCCTCTGTCGTTGTTGTAATTAAAATAGAAAGATGGCAATTGAAATGCCTGTAATTCACATTGCAGTTTTCCCATTTTTTATCGTCGAATCCACCTCCATAACAACTCAATTTTCTCTAAATATTCCTCCTTTCAGGGTCCCACCCGTTGCGCCGGCATCATGCCGGCTACCTGGCCGCCGCTTGCGCTATATTTTTCGCGCTCTAACGGCACTTTCTGTGCATTCTATTTGGCGCGCGGGCAAGTGCTAGAGAAATCACGGGCGGTCTGGGTGGAGCAGGGATTGTCAGGTATGCAAAAGTATCTTTCCTCTCAAATAAAAATATTCTAGAGGTAAAATCTACCAAAATTGACGACCGATTCGTGCAAATATTTCGAGGCATACCCTATGCCGAACCACCGATCGGGAATTTACGGTTTAAGGTGAGTTTTTAAAAGTTTTTCGAGAGGTAAATGGGTTATATCAGGCAAAAAGTGACCCGATTTTCATAAAAAAAAATCACATGTTCGGATTCTGACACTAAAGTGGCTGCTCTTTTTTCAAGACGTTTATCCAAGAAAATTCTGGCGCGGAAATTTATGTCAATTACAATTTTCAGAAACCCGTCAAAAAGACACGATGGCACCAAGAGCTCGGCGCCATCGAATACGGGCCTCCATGCCTCCAATTCATGGATTTTCATCGGCATGACCGATATGCCAAGGGATAATAATGAAGAGGAGAGCGAGTGATTGTCTATATTTAAATGTATTTTCACCATACAATAAGTTCCTGAAATTATCTGGATACCTAAACTCAAAATTAACCAAATGAAAATCGCCGAAGCCCTGGTCAGAAAGATAAATGTCACCATTAGGAATGTTATGCCAAAATTTGAAATTTGCGTTACCGAATAAACCTGTCAGCTATTTTTTTAGGACATGGAAGACGAGTCAAACCTCTACCCAATCCTTGTCTGGATCCATGGCGGCTCGTTTTTGGCCGGCTCCGGAGACACTGGAATTGATATACAGATAACCGTAGCGAAGGAATATCGTTTTCAAGGGCGTTACCCTGGTTTCGATCAACTACCGACTTGGACCTCTAGGTATCGTTTACGTCAATAAATAACGTCTGGATTACTAGGCTTCATCAATACGCCGGGGAGAAGATGGAGGGCAATTATGGGCTGTGGGATCAGGTAGAGGAGAGAGAGAGAGAGAGAGAGAGAGAGAGAAAAGAAAATGCGAGAGAGAGAGAGAGAGAAACAACCTTTTTGAGGTGATGGCCCTCCAATGGATCCAGGCCAACATCAAGCAGTTCAACGGCGACCCCACCCGAGTGACCGTCATGGGGGAAAGTGCTGGAGCTGCAGCCGCTTCCGCATTGGCATTGAGTCCAAAAACTACTAGTGAGTTGAAGGATTAATCAAAGGGGTACAAGGGGGATTTTAAATACTACTACGCACCTTACTATTCACGCTTCTAGGCGGAATTGCGTAAAAAGCGCACTTTCTGTAAAATCGCTACAGTTGCAGAGCAGAATTTTACCGCTTTTTCTACTGATTCTGCTAGGTGAAATGTAAAAACCTTAAGTGTAGGTATTCCGGATTCCAGGCCCTCTTCCACCAGGCCATCATCATGTCCGGGAGCAGCGGTGCGGGCTGGGCCCTGCACCGCCATGGCACCCCCCAGTGGAGCGTCGACCACATGGCCTCGTACTTGAGGAGCGTCCCCTTCAGAACCCTCCATCAGGCCCTCAGGCGCATGCACAAGTACAAAAGGCCATACCGAGGAATGCGAAACCCGAGATTTCGGTTTTCCTAAACTGTCAGAATCTGGGACTATACCTTACAGCTCCCAGTCCTTTCAACCTACACCCCAAAAACCCTGAAATTAAGTTACCTAGCCTCTCCGTACCATCCTCCGCACCACACTATCCTCGTACGCTTATACTACCTGTGCATGTGTCTCAAAAATGGCTGGAAGTCTAGGGATTTTTCGGATTTCTATTTGTTACCATACCTTGGAAAAACTCCAGAAATCCATTTTGCAAAAGATGAAAAAGATAAAAATCCAAATAAAAAAATATTTTTTTCACGTTCTTGACTACCAGCAATTTGTGCCCTAATTCGAACGGACAATTTTAGGTGTGAAAAAGCGATCAGCGAAGAAGATGCATGAAATTGTTGGGGATGACTATTCGAAGATGAAGTCATGTCCAAGCACTGTAACTACCAGGATCAACAGATTGATTGCTTGAAGAATGTAAGCGTAAAAAAATAATGTGAAGCTATACAAAGGCCGTTGAAAATACAAACTCGTGCTAAGTCACAAATTCTCAGACCGACCTGAAAGCCAGCGAGCTGATGGATTGCATGAGGAAAGAACTGAACCTGACATCGGCTTTGTTGCGTAAAGCCTTGGCCATTGAGGTAAGCTATAGCCAAATTAAACGTTATTTAGAATAGGACAATAACAAATAATGGAACGAACACCCGAAAAAAACCTTAAAACTATCGTCAACAATACTCCATTTATTCTTAGAATCACTAACGCTGCGCTAAACAAAAAAATAGTAAATCATAAAAAATTAATAAAGAATGATATCATCCCAAAGCATCGAAGAGCGTTCATAAACTAAAAATACTTCTAGCTTAGCGTCTCCAAGCTAGTCGTTGATGGTGACTTGGTACCAACAAGGCGGCCTCGAAGGCTGTGCTCTCCTCAATTCCAGGGTCTCGGGTTTATTGTGGGAAACGCCGGAGTTGCTCTTCAGAAGGCCTGAATTTGCCCATAAGAAGAAACTTTCAACTGGGGTGTTTACCTGACAGGCGGCTATAACGTTAAATTTCTAGCGCAATTCTATTCCCTTCCCAAATTCTAACAACCTTGGCAGCGAAAGGACGTGGAAACGGCAGTCTGTATCGCATTATAGAGAACTCGTTCCACGTTGGGGGCTAATGTAAAGCAAACTACTTTTTCTTAAACTGGAAGCTGATTTTAGGATCGGTTATCGAACGCCACTCTCCATTTGATCGCAAATGCATCATTCGTGCAGTATATGGACGACCCGTCAAACACCTACGAAACTGGACGAGGTGGTTCATGCTTTGCAAAACGTGAGTTAGAGCTTATAAAGCCTATATACGGTCAGGAGACGGCTTGAACATCAACGAGCGGGAGAAAGATAGTAAAAAAAACGAAAAAACGAAAAACGCTCTCAATTTGCGAATATTTATGATTGGGGGGGCGCCGGATTAGGCTAATAAGGCACTGCTTAGAAGGCGTAATTATGTATTAGGTAGGTTAAAGGATTCGATATCAACCATAGAAAATCGGTGCTTTTCTTGTTGCTATACGATAGTAGAAAATGATAGGCAGCGGGCGTAGCCTGCTAATCCCTTTTAAGGTTTGAGGTACCCCCCCATACGACTCTTTTGGGGCCCTTTTCCGGATTTAAAAACGAACCAAGCATCGGATCGCAAAACGGAATACACCATCGGAACCGGCGACACTTTTTACATACTATAAGCTTTTAAAATTTGAAAAAAGTTTAAATTTCGAATTTTAACAGCCGATTTAAATTGCGTTTCGAGGGGGGTCTGCGTTTGTTTGTATGTCTGTATGTACGCAAAACCTTTGTAGTCGTCAAAAAGTGCCTTCCCATGGTCCGTTTGGGCTGAAATTTTCCACATATATTGACTTGATGTAAATGAAGGTGAGGAAGAAGCGTTTTTTCCAAAATAGGCTTTTAAAAATTTTATATATAATTTTTAAGTTTAAAAGCTAAATTGCGGTCAAAACAAGGGTTAATGATGTCCGTTTGGGCTGAAATTTTGCTCAAACATGCATTAGACCTTGCCGGAAAAAGTAAAGAAGAAATTGCATCGAAAGAATACTTCTTCTCTGAGATATTATAACTTTAAACCTTCGCCATACGGGGCGCCACCCTCCCCTTTGGCGGCCCCAGTCCCGAGTCAGGGCGGGCGGGTCTAGCTTCCCCAAGACAGGCCTCCAGTCTCCCCGTTGGCCTAGTGGTTAGCACGCTGTACTGGGAAGTCTTGCCCCACAGGTTCGAACCCCACACCACAACATCCGTTTTGCCGATTGGCCCCCGTGCATCCTTATGGTTTCTATTACGTTCCCCAGCGCCGCAGGCTACAGATTTTTGAAGTTTTGTGTACAAGAGTTCATCTGAATAAGTATAAGCTTATTTACGATCTTAACAATAAGATTGAGGCAAAAGGGCTAAATTCTCTCTGAGGCTAAAGAGTCTTTTCAAAGGGCTTTTGGTTCTCGCAAAAAAGAGAATTCTCGTGGCAACAAAAGAGCTAATTCCTTTCAAACTCTTAAAATGCGGGATAAGCCCCTTAACCCAAAGTTTATGACTATATTGAATGAGACAGATCATTTCAGCAGTTCGACCATGGAATAATATCTGTATTATGATCGATTTGCACTTTCTTGAAATTAATCCTGTGGACCCTGACCTGTGATCTGGGATGGTACCGAGTTTATTAAGGTTTTAAATAGCCAGCAACTTTTTGTTGTTCCTGCATTCTGTGGCATTTTAGAGTTTGAAAGGAATTAGCTCTTTGCTGCCACTGAGAATTCCTCTTTGCGAGAACCAAAAGCCCTTTTTGAAAAGACTCTTTTTAGCCTTAGAGATTATATAAACCTTTAGATGGAAGCCGATATCGAGTTTGTATCCCCGTGCCAACGTGAAATCAACGCTTACGCGCAGAACGGGGTTCCGGTCTACGTCTACTCGTTTGATTACGTCCCAGAAAGCCCGATTTATGAAGAGGTATCAAAAATCAGCTCTATTTTTGTTATACCCTTCTTATTCTACAGGAAATGAAGACATTCCATCTTTTTGGCAAAGACCCGATCAAGGTGGAGCGACGGGATGGCGGGGGTGAGTTGAAATACGTTTAAAAACTATTTTAAGGGATACTTATTACGTTAAAGAACATAATTTCGATACTAGCAGGTTAAATATAGCTTTTATAACAAAGCCTTACTTTATTAACACGTTTTACATTAACTTCTCCTTTAGAAAAACGTCTCGACGCCTTTCACGGCCTTGACCACGCCTATATCTTCTCAAGGGGCTACAGCAGCAATTTTGAGGTATGAATTCCTTTACTCAAATACGTCAAATACCATTAGATAAAACCTTTTACGAAAAAGGACGAAACCCTGTCGACAATGCTAACCAATATGCTGACGAATTTCGTGAAAACCGGCGACCCCTCGACAAAACGCTTCGCATTCCCACCCTTCACTAATGAGAGCAGCCAATATGTGTCCATCAACGTGCCGCCAAAGTCAGTTTTTGGCTTAAAATTAGAAATTTTTATCGTTCTATTACTAGAAAACAAAATGGGCTTCCACTACGTTAAATTTAGAATCGAAAACGGCGATCTCCATTGGCCAAGCCCGAAATTTTGGAACGTTGAAGCGGAATTGATCTCAAAATATGTGCCCAGAGACGGGGATACAGTCGCGGATCCGGATGCCGATTTGACGAATGAGGAACGGGTTCAGGTTAGTCAGAAAGGATATAATCTCTGTTCTGAACGTGTGCAAAAATAAAGAAAACTATAAAAAAGACAAAACGTTCTTGTTCTTTGTTCTTGGATTATTCTTGGAAAACGTTAAATAACAAACGAGGAACCGAAAAGAAGACCTTACCGCCATTATAACTCTCTATGAAGGTTGTTAAACCGAAAAACAGCTCAAAAACTTTAGCTCGGCGCCTATCGACGAGCCTGGTGGGCCCTCTGGGTCCTGGTGATCATTCTGGCGGTCGTCATCTGGGGCATCGTTGCCTATTGTATCCTCAGAAAGCAGTGTTCAGTTCGGTGAGTATCAAGAATACTTTTTCAACTACAAACTTGAAGATGAAGCCCACAATCAAACAATTTCAGATCAAAACCCTACGATAACATTGTGGTGCCGCGCTAGGAGCGACCCGACTCGGCGTCCAACTTCCCAAAACCAAAGAGCTTCGACCCCGGAAAGTCTTGAAGAAGATCACCCTCCCCACACCCCCCAGAAAACATTGTTCCGTTGCTCAAGTGATACTCATTTTGATAAACAGTTTCAATTTTCTTCGAATTCTACATGAAGGGGCCTAATTTG